AGATGTTGAGATGGAAGTAGCCTAGCAGCTAGCTTAGCCTAGCGGTGCTTTAAGTGGTCCGTTCGCCACTCACCTCTGTTTGCCAAGTGGAGGAATTCCTCTGCACGGTTATTCCGCTGTATGTCGCGCCGCGGTTTGTTTTACTTGCAAAAAGCTCTCTCCATCTTGAGCTACTATCTTGCTCTCTTGTGTCTAACTGACTGCAGCTAATAGCCGTTTTGTTTACTACATTACGTTAACTACTACGTGTAAAATATTTTGTCGCTTTAATCACATAGGTTAACGTGTTTATGTTGACAGCCCTAGTCTTTAGATTTCTTTGTTGAAGGCAGGATATGCGAGTGCTTCAGGGGCTTGTTGGCGATCTCAGAGAGCATAGGAGACATTATTTGCCAGCAGCTACTCAGCTCGGGGCAGACCCAGGGCATGCTACATGGATTAAAGAGGTAGGGCTTCTTTGTAAAGGTCACAAAAAAGAACACCTCCTGTGAATGGCAATAATTTTGCCTTGGGCCAACCAAGCTCAAATGTATACTCATGAATTCAGATGATGTTTTTCTTCTAATTATTCTTCTGATATGCAGTTTTCTTTGATATCATTTGACTGACATTGGAAATAACTGAATGTATCTGCGAGCCAGCATTGTCTTGACACGTTGGCAAAGAGTGAGGAAACCTCCCTATAAATGGTGCTATAACTAAACCATCTATGAATCCAAAAACTTTTTAAACTACCTCATTTTCTCAATGCAACTTGGACCTTTTATTTTTTTAAAGAGTAGACGAACTGGGTAGTTATAACAAGCAGTACAAACCCAAATTGTGCCGGTAAGGGAAAAAAAATGGTACAAAGGAAAAGACACAGCCCAGCATCACGGCAGGTCCTGAAATAATCACTAAGCGCTATCCATTGGTTTCATGTGCATCGACACAGAGGAAGGGACATCCGAAAATAATAAGCTGTGGGTGCGAGAGGAGGTGGTTGGATCCAACAAACACAGGACTTCTAGCCATGAGGTTTTGCTGCCTAAACCTAGAAGTACATGTTGATTGTCAAACCAACCGTGATGTTTTTTTTCAAACCTAACTGGTTGTTTCCTAAAGCTGACTTTGGTACTTAACATCATTTTGTTTTGAAAGACACATGACAATTTGTGCGCCACTGTGTTAGATGCCAAAAGAAATCTTGACACAGAGAGGAGATCTGTAAAGAGCAGAGTATAAAGCAAAAAAAAAAGAATGAAAATCTAACTTGAGACGGGTCAGGTGAAATGGTTCGTTCACTAAGATGAGGTGTCATCACACACACAGACAAAGAAAAGGCATGCACAGATGGTAGACGGTGATGGATAGATGAGAAGGTAAATCAGGATACAGAAACCCACACGATGTGAACACGCTAGTGTGGATTGGGTGTTCCTCGGTAAAGCCACTACAGTCACTTTTTCAATGCAAACAGCAATATTTTCTTCAAATGAAGGCTTGTTGCCTAAACCAGGTTTTCTGTGACAAAGGAAGTTCATTTGAAATGTGAGTAGGCATGAAATAAAAATCTGTCTTGTTAGTGAAACAGAGATATTGAGGAGTAACAAAGAAACAAACAAAAGGTTGTATAATGATTGATTGAAAACCAAAGATTAGACTACACTAATGTTACAACTAAAACACTCAGACATTGTTTAGTCATTGATTAACGACGAGAATGATTTTGTCACCTTTTTCATTGTAAAAAATTGTACCTCCCCAATCTAAAAGACATAACTTTATTTCCCTTGCCGTCCCTGAGCGACACACTCAACCTCGAGTCGCACGTCACAGTTTTTGATGGTGAGAGGATGTGACAAATTTTTGCAAAATTCAATAAACAGCCAAAAAGACTTACACTTAAAGTAAGAGCTTTTTTCCCTTACCGAGGCGTCTCTTGCACATCAGCTTCTTAACATCCGGGACTGTGGAAATAGGTAATCATACACTATAAGCTACTTAACGAGACAAATACTGTGCCAGTATAAGTTGTTTTAGTATTTAGTATCTAGCATTACCCCCCGCAGGAATCCCACAACCCTCCCGTGTAGCGAAATGAGGATGGAACATGGAAAAGATTAGGACTCAACGGCCCCTCAGCTCCTCCTCCTATGTCATTGTTCCACTATCCAGAGTATCGGCTGTGTCCATCCTTCACCTTGTTTCTCATCCGAATTTACTGGCGTTGACCATTTCCAAGGAAAACCATTTGTAGTGATTTGCACAATGTGCAGGCAGCGCGAGTGTGAAGGTGAAGCCCAACGAACGATTCCTGGAGGGCTGATGTATCGGGGGGGGAAAATAATGGTCGAACCTTGCCAGTATATATTGAGATAAGTCGAGTAACCACACTTGGTTACATTTCACCCGTTTTTTCATGTTTGGCTGTGAATAAGATTGAAGTGATGTTCTTAGTGGTTCAGTCAGCACGACTTCACCTCAGTCACAACTGTGTCAGGTGGAAGATGCAAAACCAGTGGCTTCATAATTGGCAACACATGCAGCTTTCTTTATCAGAGAAACAAGGATATACATCAGAAAAAGGAGCATTTAGACTGCACATTCTGCCTTTCTCTGTGCACGTCTACACATAGAAACAACCTTGTAGTCGCATAATACGATCCTGTTGATAGCCCCCTGCTAGGGTGGGAGGTGCTGTTCATCCAAAAGCGTGCGTTTTTGTGTGTCTGTGTGTGTTAATGAGAGAACCCGAGACAATGACAGACACCAAGCCCTAATTAGGTTGTCATGCTGAGCGAGCGAGGTGGAGACAGAAAAAGAGAGAAAGAGAGAGAGAGCCACGTGGAGAGAGAGAGAGAGCTTATTAAGGAGGATAGGTGTCAAGCTCTGGTAGGAAAAACGGGGGGCAGGAAAGGCAGAGGAGGGGGAGGAAGGGATGATGAGAGGGAGGTAAAGAGAACCGGGTGCAGGAAGGGGAAAAGAAGAGAGTGGGAAAGAGTTCAAGCGAGAGGAAAGGAGGAAGAGGGAACAGGAGCCCGGAACCAGAGAAGGAAAAAAGGAGACGGAGGAGAGAGGAAGGAGTTGGTGAGATGAAGGAAGGGAGAAGGTGGAGGTGAGGGCATGAAGAGGGAGACGAACGGGATGTGGTAGTGCCTCTAGTGCAAAAAAAAATCTCCTGGATTCTCAAAAGATGGAAGAAGCAAAGACAGAGGACTTCCAAATTATTGTCCGAAAGAATAATTCTTACTTTGTTTCAGTCATCTAAACTATGTGTTACGATGAAATACTCACCAATTTGAATGGCTCCGGCCAGATAACCTAAATGTCTTCGTTGGTATGTGAAGACTAGGCCCTGAAAGCTGACCGAGCGCCTTCCATCCCATCTCAGCAGTTGTGATGGAGATAGATCACGATACATTGTACCATTCATTGCCTTTTATTGAGTCCAAAAACAATAATCTGCTATCAGGTGACTGAAGTTTGGTACCTGGGTGAACTGATGATAACAAACCTCCATGTTTTTGTTGTACATGACAGGGTTGCGCAATAAAATAACATTGTAATTCGTAGTCCCATTCTACTCTATAAGAAAATGACCCACGCCAAAGCAAAACTATGTCATATGTTGGAGGTGGAGGATGAATTTAGTTTTCACTCACGCTGGTTACTGGAACATTAATAAGTAATATTTACTTTTGCCAGGACACATTTTAATTCAGTTCATTATGCACACACACACACACACACACACACACACACACACACTCTACGCCCATGCAGGTAAACGATACTGTAAGCCAACTGCTGAACAGGATGATACCCCACCAACACCAGCCCCTTCATCGAGGTATCAAACACATATTCACAGACACACGTACTCTCTCACACACACACACACACACACACACACACACACACACACACACACACACTCCCTAAAGGGCCTCAAGGGACCCAGGGCAGATTCTGTTGTTGTGTCAACAGCCATAATGTAATTATTAAATCTATTAAACTGGCAGCAATCAATAAAGCAGGACAAAGATACAGACATGCACCTGCAATACCTAAGTAATGGAGATAATGTATTTGTAGTCTGGAAAATTCATCAGCCAATGCAATGATGTAATGACTAAAGGTGCAAATGTTTTTTTTCAGACCCTCATGGACCGATCAGCCTGCCACCTGCTGAATAAAGAGGGTTAGCGCTGAAGTTAGCAACGGCTAAGGCTCTGTCTCACTTAGACCTTTCCAGGCCTGCTGTCCTCCTTTAAGGGGCAACTCTACCCCATGAACTTTGCTAAACATATTATTACTACAATGGTATCTTTCACTACCTTTTTTACTGCCCGACTGACTCCATTAATTGGTGAAAATTGTTGGTCAACGGTTAATTATTCACCATTATTCTGCTGTCATGACCAAATGTTTTTTGATTATAAACCGCTAATGTGCTAAGTACTGACTAATCTATATAATAGGGAATCCAAATATGAAGTAAACATGCAAGGTGAATATAACAAATGTGTTGATGACGGATAGAATATAAGTTTCGATACCGCTCATCTATGTTTTGAAGTAGTGAGGAGGAAACAGGCTCTTTATTTTCTCTCAAAGAATGCTGGGCATTTTCAAACAACAACCTCACATTCTTTTTCTTTAAATGTTCCACGAAAAGCATTGAAATTTGTCAACACGATGGAAATGAACCACTGAAATGAACACTGCGAATCACAAATCTATCCCCGTGCGACTCCGGAGGAACTGCTTTGTGGCCCATTCGGACCTCAAAACATCTCTTTGGAAATCGCCTACATTTATTTAGTCTACATGTGTTCATAAAGTGCACTGTCACCTGTAGCTGTCATGTCAGGAGAGGAACTAGAGTTATCGGCAACAAATCCAACCGGAGCTGAAAAAATCCGAAATTCGATTCCTTGGAGAATCTAAAACAAAAGTCACTTTAAAGTGGGGTCGTGGCAGTGTGAAGTTATTGGTCAAGATGAGTGGGATGGTACCTTAGTACACAGGTGTAGAATCCATTGTCTTCCATCTCAGCAGATCTGAACCAGATGGAGTCGTCTTCTTTACTCAGCCTGTGACCTGAGAAAATGATAGGCTCCTAAAAAACACAGTACAAAACAATGTTAGAGCAATAAGAAAACAATAAAGGGCTTTTTGAAGTGTTTTAAGTACACAGACATAACGTCCCTCCCTCTCTAGTATTAAGAAGAGGGGGAGAATAATTAAAGTGTCATAGAGAAGGAGGTCACAGCATTGCACCTATGGAATTAGGTTTCAACATACTGGAGATGCAAATTACATGTATCATCAGGTCGAAATTGAATCCAACTAAATCCTGTTTTATTAATCCACACTGCCAGGAGACGGTAACAGAGTTTTATTGTGCTACTTGGGAAAACGGTATGATTTATCAGTCCCTCCAGTTCTGTGTATTGGCTATTACTCAAACACAAGCATGCCCAAAGAAAGTAAAGAGATTTTTCACACTCTACACAATCGACACATGCATTCTGACTGCTTTAAGGGTTCTTTTCCAGTGTGAACACCTTAAAAGCTGCTTGGATTTCAAATACAACAAATCGATACTGTGGTGGAGGGGCGTGGTTAGCTCAGCTGCAGGGGGGAGAGCGTGGGAGTGGTTCAGGGGACGGTGCTGGTAGGTGAGGAGTAAGCAGGTGTGAATAATCTGCACTGATTGTCTCCTACAAAAGCAGTGAGCAGGATCCAGGTCGGGGAAAACGTGAGCTGAGCAGAGCTGAGCGGAGCCCGAGAGCAGAGCGCGAGAGCTGAGCGGAGCCGGACAAAGCGAAACCGAGCACGCACAACGAGCGACCTCATTCCTGCTCACTGCCCTCCCCTTTTGGAGAATAAAGACTGGTTACCCTCATCGTGTGTCCGTGCGTCTTTGCAGAACCCGCCGGTGGTAGCGCTATCACGGCTACAGTGGCGCCTGGCCAGGGATGGACGCGAACGACCACGGAGAGGGCCTGATGCAGCCGGCGGTCGCGCTTGGACGGATGCTGGGGGAGATCGCCGCGATGCACTCCCCCATGCGACTTCCTGGGGGCGCTGCAGGCTGCTGCAGACCGGCAGACCCAGGTATTGGAACAATTGGCAGCCCGACCAGTCGCTTCCCCAACGGCGCCGGGTCCCTCGGCGTATGCGGGCGTGGTGGTGCACAAGATGACCCCGGAGGATGACGTACAGTCATACCTGGAGATGTTCGAGGCGATGGCGGGGGCGTGTGGCTGGCTGGCGGACGAGTGGGCGATCCGCCTCCTGCCGCTTCTAACCGGGGAGGCGCAGACAGCGGCCCTGGGCCTGCCACCAGGTCCCAAGCACGTCTACGCCAGCGTGACAAAGGCCATCATGGACCGACTGGGGCTCTCCCCCGAGGACCATAGGAGGCGTTTCCGGGAGGCGAGGCTGGGGCCGGGGGACCGCCCGTTTGCGTTTGCCCAGCGACTCGCCGACGCGGCCAACAGGTGGCTGCAGCCGGAGGGCGCGGGAGGGGCGCCGGCGGTGGTGGAGAAGGTGGTGACGGAGCAGTTCCTGGAGGGTCTTCCGCCGCGGACGGCGGCCTGGGTCCGCTACCACCGGCCGACGGCGCTGGAAGCCGCCGTGACCCTCGCCGAGGACCACCTGGCAGTGCACCCCGGGGGCCATGGGGAGGGCGGTCGGCCGACCGCATCGACGCAGCCTGTTCCCGCGCCGCGACGGAGATCCCCGCTACCTGTCGCGGCTCGGCCCCCTCCGTCCCCGCGCGCCCTAGCCCCTCAACGGGGTACTGATCCACCCGGCCTGGCCGGCACCCTCCCCGACTTGCAGAGGGCTCCTCAACCGCCAGGGCAGGAGTGTTGGAGGTGCGGGCAGCCCGGACACTACCGGCGGGAGTGCCCGATAATGGAGGTGGGCCAAACGGTACGGGTTGCAGGGCCTCCAGCACCCTCCCCCGGTCTGGGAGCGACGTACGGCGTTCCGGTAAGGATCCAGGGGGGTATACATCAGGGTTTTTTTCGCTGATTAGGGACAGGCTATACAGAGTGAGTCGCGACACTCTGACAGGGCAGGAAATTACGCAGTTGTTGGTACCGAAAATCCGCCGGGAAACGGTTTTCCAGGCGGCTCACTATAACCCGATGGCGGGCCACCTGGGTAGCGACAAAACTCTGGATCGGATAGTAGCCCGATTTTACTGGCCAGGCATCTGGGCGGATGTGCGCCGCTGGTGTGCGTCCTGCCCACAGTGCCAGCTGGTGAACCAGCCGGCCATCCCGAAAGCGCCGTTGCTGCCGTTAATGGAGCTGGCGTTCGAACGCTTAGGTATGGACCTCATCGGGCCATTTCACCGGAGTGCACGGGGGTATCGCTTTGTGTTGGTTCTGGTGGATTACGCAACCCAATATCCCGAGGCAGTGCCGTTGCGCAGCATCTCCGCCAAGAGTGTTGCGCAGGCGCTGTTTCAGGTCATCTCCCGAGTCGGAATCCCGAAAGAGATTCTGACGGACCAGGGCACCTCGTTCATGTCACACTCTACGAGAACTGTACGAATTGTTGGGGGTTAAGTCCGTTCGGACCAGTGTGTACCATCCCCAGACTGACGGCCTGGTGGAACGGCTGAACAAGACACTGAAATCCATGATTCGTAAGTTTATTCACGACGATGAACGTAATTGGGATAAATGGCTTGACCCTCTGTTGTTTGCAGTACGGGAGGTCCCCCAGGCCTCCACGGGATTTTCTCCCTTCGAGCTGCTGTTCGGCAGGAGACCACGGGGGGTGCTCGACCTGCTTAAGGAACACTGGGAGGAGGGTCCGAGCCCCGGTAAGAACGAGATTCAGTACGTCCTGGACCTGCGAGCCAAGCTCCACACACTGGGTGAGTTGTCACGTGAGAATTTGCTCCAGGCCCAGGAACGTCAACAGCGGCTGTACAACAGAGGGGCCAAGCTGAGACAATTCACACCGGGAGAGAAAGTGCTTGTATTACTTCCTTCTTCCAGCTCAAAACTACTCGCCAAGTGGCAAGGGCCCTTTGTGGTCACACGGCGGGTAGCGGACGTCGACTACGAGGTGGTGCGATCTGCCAGAGGGGGAGCCACGCAGATCTACCACCTCAACCTCCTTAAAGCATGGAGAGAGGCGGAGTCCGTGTCCCTGGTGTCTGCAGTAGCAGAGAGCGAGGAGCTGGGGCCAGAGGTCCCAAAGTCCACCGATCCAACCCGGCTCCCGTCCGACGCCCGTCTCTCTGCAGCCCAGCAAGCGGACATAGCCCGGTTGCAAGATCAATTTAATGATGTGTTCTCCTCCCGGCCAGGTCGCACGGACCTCATGGTGCATCACATTGAGACGTCCCCGGGCGTGACGGTGCGGACGCGGCCCTACAGGTTACCTGAACACAAAAGGAAAATGGTTCAGCGAGAATTGGCCGCTATGCTGGAGATGGGGGTAATAGAGGAGTCCAACAGCGCCTGGTGCAGCCCCATCGTTCTTGTCACCAAGAAGGACGGCTCAATAAGGTTCTGTGTGGATTATCGCAGGGTGAATGCGGTCTCACGGTTTGATGCGTACCCGATGCCCCGGGTCGACGAACTCCTGGACCGATTGGGCACCGCGCAGTTTTTTACGACACTGGATTTGACCAAGGGCTACTGGCAGATTCCCTTGTCACCAGAGTCCAGGCAAAAGTCGGCGTTCTCCACTCCGTTTGGATTGTACCAATTCACCACGCTTCCCCCTTCCCTGTTCGGCGCCCCGGCCACCTTCCAGCGCCTCATGGACGGGGTGCTGCGTCCGCACGCTGCGTATGCGGCCGCCTACCTGGATGACGTCATCATCCACAGCACCACGTGGGCGGAGCATGTGCGGCGGGTGGGCGCGGTGCTGGAGTCCCTGAGGCAGGCCGGGCTCACCGCCAACCCGGGGAAGTGTGCAGTTGGACGGAGGGAGGTACGGTATCTGGGGTACCACTTGGGCGGCGGGCGGGTGCGCCCGCAGGTGGACAAGACCGCAGCCATTGCAGCCTGCCCGCGGCCCAAGACGAAAAAAGAGGTGAGGCGGTTTTTGGGGCTGGCGGGCTACCACAGGAGGTTCATCCCGGGCTTTGCGGAGCTGACCAGCCCCTTAACTGACCTGACCCGGAAAGGTGCCTCAGATCCGGTCCAGTGGACTGAGCGGTGCCAGTGGGCGGTTGAGGGGGTGAAACGAGCCCTCTGTGGAACCACTGCTCCATACACCTGACTTCTCTCTCCCTTTTGTCTTGCAGACTGATGCGTCGAGCAGAGGGCTGGGGGCCGTTTTGTCCCAGCAGGTGCAGGGGGGTGGACCGCCCGGTCCTTTACATCAGCCGGAAGCTGTCGGAAAGAGAGGCCAGGTACAGTACGGTCGAAAAAGAGTGCCTGGCCATCCAGTGGGCGGTCGACTCCCTGCGGTATTACCTCCTGGGACGCCAGTTCACTCTCTGTTCGGACCACGCCCCGCTGCAGTGGCTCCACCGCATGAAGGATGCCAACGCCCGGATCACTCGGTGGTATCTGGCTCTACAGCCTTTTAACTTCAAGGTGATCCATAGGCCGGGGGCACAGATGGTCGTGGCGGACTTCCTTTCCCGCCTTCAGGAAGGAGGGGGGGGGAGTCTGTTCGGCCGGATGGCTCCCCGGCCTAAGTCGGGCGGTGGGGGTATTTGGTGGAGGGGCGTGGTTAGCTCAGCTGCAGGGGGAGAGCGGGGGAGTGGTTCAGGGGACGGTGCTGGTAGGTGAGGAGTAAGCAGGTGTAAATAATCTGCACTGATTGTCTCCTACAAAAGCAGTGAGCAGGATCCAGGTCGGGGAAAACGTGAGCCGAGCAGAGCTGAGCGGAGCCCGAGAGCAGAGCGCGAGAGCTGAGTGGAGCCGGACAAAGCGAAACCGAGCACGCACAACGAGCGACCTCGTTCCTGCTCACTGCCCTCCCCTTTTGGAGAATAAAGACTGGTTACCCTCATCGTGTGTCCGTGCGTCTTTGCAGAACCCGCCGGTGGTAGCGCTATCACGGCTACAGATACATTTCTAGTTAATCCTATAGTGCAGCATATCCTGCCCTGGTTATAATATTCAACCATTTAAAAAGCTTTCCATTTTCTGGTTAAATACTAAAGACTTCGTCTCCCATTGGCTAAAAGTATTTTTGCATAAATTCAACCTCAAAATCTGAATCTCCATTTCCAATTGTAGAAAAAATATTGTACACTTTAGTTTCGAATGTAAGAGTAACTAATGGTAATCAGTAACATGTATGCAATGCAGTCTCTGACCACTAGTGGCACCAACACTCCTCACTGCTGCTGAGCACCACACAAGAATAATATTCTCAGCCTGTGTTCTTGTGATTTCAACCGGGCATGAGTCTTGATTTTTAATATCGACGCCTTCTTGCAAAGTATCTCAATGAAACATTTCGCAAAGCAAAAATATTTTTTCTGAAATGTCTTTAAAATGACCGTGCTATGATAAGGGTTTTTGATAAGGGGTGTTCAGTTTCATTCAAAATTATAGGATTATAAACATTACAAAGAAAGATTATAATTGTATGTTTACGTAATTTGATTTATTATTTATAATACTTTTTTTTAATCCTAACTAATGAGTAAAGCAGGATATTTCCCCTTCCATGAGCCACTACTCCAGGTCTCACCTCTGCATCTCCTTTGTTCTTGTACCAGATGAGGCGCAGCTTGGCGTTGGTCGCCATGGTGTAGTTGGTTCGGATGTAGCTGTAGAACAAGGCACATTTCACCCGGACAGGTTCGTCGGCCAGAACGTGGTACTCCTTGAGATCCACGGACCAGTCTATGCATCCGTCCACTGCAAGCAGAGAAACAGAGGGAGAAATATTCACAAAAAGGATAGAGACCATTGTACGGTGGACTGACTCCAAAGACAACATCACTGCAGGGGGAAGAAACGGAAACAATCATGAGAAACACTTGTAAAAGACACACTTTCTTTCAGGGATAAAGAGTGCTGAGAGAGACACAAACAATGTAAAGGACTCTGGTTTTGTTTTATCTGGATTATTTGATAATATTGTTCGCCTTCAAGGCAAAAAACTATACTGTTTACAACAAAGCCATAACTGGATTGATAAAAACAACAAACCAAGTAAAATAACATCTAAAGACAGACAAATAAAATATTTTTGTTTTTGCTCTAAATAATTGATTTGAAAAAAAAGAACCTGTAAGCGTTTTCTTATCATTTACATATCGCCCAGAGAAGCAGAAAACTAAAATTGGAGAGACAGATTGAGAAAAATGAAGGTCGAGAGGTCGAGGCCAAATGAGGCTAGAGAAGACCAGAGAAAGTGTTGCCATGCTGGGGGAGGGAAGGGGGAGGGAAGGAGGTGGACTCTGTGAACCGCGACGAACAAAAAAACAGTTGTAGAGGGAGGAGAAGAGGAGGTGGTGAGACGTGGAGGTCAGGGCGGAGAATGACAAGGAGCTTTCCCAAATGGACTCGCCTCGTCCCCTACCCATCCTGTCCCTGTCCCTCTCTTCCCTTATCTTCTCTTATCTCCGTCCTTTGGTCCTCGGACTTCTTTTCTGGCTTTCCCGCTCTGTGCCCGAGGCTCAGATTGATGCCCTCCGTTTTAACTGAAGCCTTTCAGACACTTTGCCTCGAGGCCTTCCCTCTGAATCACAGCCGCTACGCTGCAGAAATAAAGCCTCCCCCAAAATGCCCCCTCAGCCTCACAACAGTGTTGGTTTTCCTCTTGGTGGTTGATTACGCAATTCTGGGATTAGGGTTCTCAATAAAAATGTGTTATTTGGCTATGACCAGATAATGTGTACCGTAAAAAAATTAAATATACATACTACGATATACATTATTCGGTTGACACGAGGGAGGATACGACACGACCTGTTAAATAATCAGACAGTATAAAGAGGGGCTAGATGCTTTAAAGTTCATCATTCATTCAGTCATTGAATGACGGTGAACGTCGACACAAATGCTGAGGTGTCTTTTTTTATATGAGCATTAAGCGACCGAAAGCGAGCGAAAACTAAAAATGTCCAAGAGGATTTGATGTAGCCAAATGTGATGCCAACAAATAAACAGTGAAACTTTGACCCCCCCCCCCCACCCCCCCTCCAAAAAAGCTGCTCAACGTTGACTTACTTGGCCCCAAACTTACTCAGGTTTACGTATTTATTTAAACGCAAAACGACAACCTCTTTTCAGGTAGCAGGTGAGAAACATGCTTAAATACTAGGAGCTACTTCTTGTGGGATATCTCTGATCCATGCACGCCGATCGGTCCTGACCCTTAAACTGTTCACCTTTATAAGGGTCGGAAGTCAGACGACTGTTACCGTGGTTACTGCTGTGTGCCGGAGTGCACATGTTTGAGCACCCCTTCAAACGTGTTGAGTGCAATTTGTGTCGAGTTTGTTCCCGGAGATTTAAGGCCTTCATTTGCATGACATTGCGGTGCAGATTTAGAGCTGCGCACTTAATTGGTTACATTTATAGATTGAGCAATATGCATTAAGTCATACAGAAGCTGCATGGAATTAATAACTTATCAACGTACAAACACACACACACAAACACTCACACCCGAGCAGGTTTATCACACACTAGCACTCTCTCACTCTCAAATGATTTAGCACTCATCCATGTGTCTTTCTCTAGAGACACACACACACACACAAACACACAAGCACATTATTTGACAGCAGTCATTTAATCATTGAGTTTAGTCGCAAGATATTCAGAGGACTACAGGCATAATAACTCACTGCGGGAGTGTGTGCGTGTTTGAATGGAGGTGGGAAATTGTGTGTGTGAATATTAAGTAATGAGTAGACGCGTCTGTCTTTGTGGTTGTAAATTAATGAGTTGACACAAATCGAAGGTGTGGATGCAGGCCATTCAACACCTAACACAGAGGATCTCACACACACACACACACACACACACAGATGCACCGAGGGCATCGCATTAATAAAAAGACACATTAGTTTGGTCTGCTGAACTAATGCCTTTTGTTTCAGTCATTGTTTAACACAGGTCACATTCACACACACACACACACACGCACATTGGAGCGAAGGGGCCGAGTGTAGCTGCAGGTCATAACCAAATCCAACTCCCGATAATTCATTCATGGCTGCTTCTGCTGCCGCTTGTGCACTGCTTCCATCTAGGTGAGGGTAGAAGTGCACGAGCACTGGAGGCCGACGCACTGCCTATGTGTGCGTGTGGTGCGCAGGAGAGGACAGCTGCACGCGTCTGTAGACATAATAAATGTGTAGGCGAGGTGTTAGCGAGGCCAGATACATCACCTCCGTCACAGGGTTTTTAGGGCAGAACACGTTCAAACGGAGTCTCCAAATCATCATCTACGTTCCTCCGCAAACTGTATCTGAAGTGAACAGGAGAGCAGAGTTGTTCTCTGTGGTTGTGATCTATGGGGACACACTAACAATCTAGCAAACAAGGTTTCGAGGACGGACCCAAATGCAGTGGGACACGTGGAACAGAGGGATTTCCAACTGTAATGAACAAATCACTTGATGTTTAGTGCCGGCGGCAGTGCATGCACACGGCGTCCCCAGTTCACCCTTTCAGGTGAAAGTCACCGACAGATCCAGTTGAGCTACAAGTCCTCAGCTGTTTGTCTTCCTGGGTTGGGTAAGGTAGATGGAGTTGGACGACATGTATGAGTCAGTAACAGCACACGCGTGAACGATCATTTGTCGGGGTCTTTTTATCGCCAGCTGCAAAGCTCTCGCTCTCACTTGAGGTGGGCTGACTTCTAGGTGGACTCACTCCGCTCAGGCCTGCCCCAGCATTTTAAAAATAAATGTCATTTCACTTTTTAACTGACGCCACGTCCCCATGAAGATTCTTGGTCAAGAGTTACTTCTTGACATTTCCAAAGAAAATGTGAAAGCAATGAAGCACTCTGAGTTTTTGCCGCGGCGCTCTACTAGCAGAGAGCTCCTGTTAACAGTCCGGACACATACTTTACTCGGAGGATGTTTTTTACAGACAGACCAATCAAACAATAAGCGCTTCCAAAATACGGCCCAAAGGTTGAATCATTCTTTCCTCATACTAAGTATTAAAAAGGAATGTTCCGTTATGTTTAATAGCTGCAGGACTGCGCGCTGTGTGCTGTGAATGCACGGCGCAGGATATTTAGTTCAGTCCTGTCACTCACACACAAAGCCCTTCAGAGCTCCCAGCCTGTCTGCATGCTCCCACAATCCCCTGCAATACCACTACAGCTGCTGCCATAATAATAGCTTGACCTGACCTCACACACACATACACACACGCACACAGACACGCATACACACACACACACACGCACAGGTAATGATCTCCACATTCACAAACACAGACGCACAGAAAGGGAGCCCACAGATACACACACACACACACACACACACACACACACACACACACACACACACAAACTAAAGGTGTATCACCACTGCAGGGCAATTTAAAACCCAAGTTAGAGGGAAAAGAATAGAGCCAAAGGAACGGCAAAAGAGAGCGAGAGAGCGAGAGAGAGAGAGAGAGAGAGAGAGAGAGAGGGAGAGAGAGAGAGAAAGGGTGTGGGGGGGGGGAGCATTTGGACGAATGTTTTTGAGCGATGTTCAATTTCAGCACACAGCCGTCTTGATGGTTACTTTTTATCTCATAACACATTTTATAAGAGTGGGCTTAGCCCGTGTGTGTGTGTGTGTGTGTGTGTGTGTGTGTGTGTGTGTGTGTGTGTGTGTGTGTGTGTGAATGATGGCGAAAAGAAGTCTGAGGTTGAGGAAGACGGAATCTATTTATCGTTTTTAGAATGACTCATCAAAATTTGTTGGGCAAACCATTGGAGTCCACACGCACACACGCACAATATCTATTTAGTGAGCAGCATGAATATGGTAATGCATGTGTGGGTTTTCTGCCTCCATTCAGTGCAATGGAGCTATGACAACATCTATCACCATATGAGGCTGTTAGTGTAACACACAGACACACTAACACACACACAACACAGGAATAACAGACACCGAGCAACGACACACACAAAATCATCGTCAACGCTGAATAAATGGAGTTGACCACAATCTGCCCTCGGTCTAATGCTACCAAACAGACTGAAATGTATTCACCCTCACACGTTAGCGACTCGTCTTTCAAACAACTCATACTGTTGAACAAAAGAGGGAAGTCAGGGGCATTTACTAAAAGCCAAATATTTCTGCAGGCACACTGGCAGAAATACAATCTGAGATTTACGTTCTCTCTCAATAATCTTTCTATCCATGCATCGGTATTCAATAAGGACCCATATGTTTGATTTGACCTACGCCACTTTAAAAAGAAAGTGAAAATTGTATTGATGAAGAAATTCCACACTATCATTTACAATCATGCTCGGCATGTGGTTACTCTCGTCGTTTTCTTCCTCCCCGGTGGGCTTTGTTTGCAGCCCCTCTAGTGTGAATACTGCAGCGCGTTGAGCGCTAACGCGTCTCGCTCGGCGTGACTAACCCTGATCCAAACTTTACAATTCCATGTGTCCCCATGCAAAGCGTTTGTATTAGCCTGGGGGCAGGTCCAGAATTTGGAATTACGAGGTAACGGTTCACTGGTGAGCAAAGGACCCATCCAATAAATTCAGTCTTTACTGTGCAATGTGTTGTGTGCAGTTTTCATGACCCGAGACGGCAGAGGCCAGCCCTCATGTCTGGTTCATTTTTACATGCATTTTTAAATCGTCATACATACTTTACCTTACTCTTAATAATTTGTTTACTAACTATATGTTTGAACTCCAGTTCATCCGA